AGTTCCTCACCCTCCACCCTCCGTCATGAAGGAACTCGTGGCCAGGCCACATTGCACTGCTTTTCTAAGGAGAAGAAGGCCCCTGTTCATCTTCAGGGGAGGGGGCCCGACTTCCATCCCTCCCTGCTCTTCTCAGGGCCCTGTGCAAGGAACAGACCTTTAAAACAATACAGGGTGGCCCCAGCATCCAGCAGGGTACTGTCAAAGTCTCCACCTGAACAAACAGGTCGCCCAAGAATGGGAGGGATGTTTCTCCTGAGAAGAAAAATTAGATTTTCTCTGCAACGTCCTCGTGAATCTCACACACATCAGACCTGGCCATTCAGAGGGGGAGCGAGGGCCAGGAGGCTCCACTGTAGTGACCGGCACTCCCCACACCTACGGAGCAGCCTGACTTACCCCACCGGGCCTCAACACCACCACAGTGGTGTCCCGCAGGTCATTCTGCCTGTGGCTGCAATGTCAAAGTCCTGCAACTTTCAGAACCTTTGAAATCTTGTTAATCACCTCTGCTCACACACCAGCTGTGGGGAACAAGACTGATGGGACCCCACGTCCTGCGTCATCTGCAAAACACTCCCCAGTTTGGATCTGCTTCCCCCCACCTGAGGGGAGACGCACCTGGGGGTGATCAATTCCTGTTGAACTTTTCAAAGAAAATGTTTCGATATCATGGTCCCTGGTGTGCCCGACATCCGGAATGGCAGTGAGAGGAATTTCTAGGACTCAATTATCTGTTCAAACAGAATGCATTCGGCAGGAGGACTTGATCCGATCTCATGTTGCAGTTAGGAAAACCAAAATTCAGAGAGGGAAGCGGACACCCAGCATCGCGCTGTGACTCTGGGCTCATCTGGAGTTCCAGCCCAGACAGCCCCTCCTCACGTTCACCCCCATGCACCCCCACCCCAACTCCTTCCAGTGCCCACAGGTGGCAGGCACTGTGCTGGGTGCTGGGTCAGAAATATGGACCCCGGTGAAGTCCCTGCCCTGATGACATTCGAGCCAGACAATCAATCAGGAAGCAAAGAAGCAAAACAATGACACATCTTGACAGAGGCCTGCAGAGAGTGACAATAAAGCCGTCACCTAAGGATGTGAGAGTCCATCATGGAAAGAACCCCGGAAAGGGTATTTCCAGTTAGAGGAACAGGAGGAGGGTCCAGGGCGGCTCTGGGCGTGGGAGAGTGGTGGCAGGGGAGGACCCAGAGGTCAGGACCAGAACAGGCAGCGGCTCACAGAGGCCTGGGTGGGGAGCTGGCTTCATTCTGCATGTGGCGGAAGCCACCGGAGGGCCCCAGCAGGGGAGGTCCGCTCTGATCTTGAATCGCACAGAGGACACGGGACTCTGAGGGGACAGCACTTCCCCTTACTCCTCGTGCCCCTTGGTGCCCCCTCCTCACTTTCTGGCTTCAGTACTGCAATGAGGGGTGACCACTGTTGTGTCCCAACCCCAGCAGTGACAGTGGACCCTTCTCTGCTTGTCATGGACTGAGTGGGTCCCCCCAAATCCAGCTGAGATCCTAACACCCCCTGTGATGGTATTGGGAGGCGGGGCCTAGGGGAGGCCTGAGTGGAGTCCCCGAGAAGGAGACTAGTGTCCTTATGAAAAGACCCCTGTGCCAATGACAAATCTTGACAGAGGTGTGCCCTCTCTCTTCCATGGAAGGGTACAATGAGAAGATGGCCAACTGTGGACACGACACGGACTCTGTGAGCACCCTGATCGTGAACCTTGCAGCCTCCAGAACGGTGAGACCCGGTAGTCATGCAAGGCCGGGGCTGCGGGACTCAGCCGGGTGCCGGGTGGCCCAAGACAGGGCCCTTCCTGCTCCCTACCGCACACAGCGCCGTGCTGCAGAGAAAAGCGACACTAGCCGGTGGCCGGGCACGAAGCCCCAGTCACTGCACCCAGCGAGGCCCTCCTGACCCGGCCAGACACCCCTCCACGTCTGGGGTTTCCAGAGAAGGCTCCCGCCCCTGTCCCCTGCAGCTGCAGACTCCGGCCCGGGAGCTGCCGGCCAAGGGAAGGGCTGAGTCGGAGCCGGCATGGCACACCAGGCTGGGCAGAGCCGGGCCAGGCAACTGGGGAGCTGAAGGACAGAGGAGGGCCGTCCAGCCTCACCTATGACCCTCCATTGCCACAGCACAGGCCTCGGCCAGGCGACCTGAGGCGCGGCCCGGTGAGATGCCGCACCTGTGCCCAAGGGCTCCCCAGCTGGCAGCCGGAGGCCACCTGCAGGGCAGTTCCCTGGAGCGTCTCCCCCGACAGACCTTTCCACAGGCGGAGACTCAGGACACCAGGTACCGCCAGGAGGTGGGGCTGGGCGGTCACTTCAATAAACAAGGCCAGTAGGTAAACCCTGCGACCTAGAGCCCAAAGAGAAGGACACACCGAGGGCTAGAATAAGGGGCTGTGTGGCCCAGAAGAGCGCTGTTGTAAGTGCTGCCCACATCTCATCTCACGCCTGGGACCAACCAGGACGATGCTGCAGAAGCCGATGAGGAAGAACTGGCCACGGCTCTGGCTGTGACAGAGAAGGCCGATAGCACTGAAGGCTTTAAAGTTGGCCACTTCTGGTCATCCTAAAGTCCCACTAGTAAGTACCAGTGCAAACCAGAGGAGGGACAGGATGCTGAGGACACAGGCACCAAAAGAGAATACGCAACGAATACCTCCACGCCATCAAAGACAACTCATCAAAAAATGAGCAATGGGGGCTGGGATGTGGCTCAAGCGGTAGCGCGCTCGCCTGGCATGCGTGTGGCCTGGGTTCGATCCTCAGCGCCACATACAAACAAAGATGTTGTGTTCACCGAAAACTAAAAAATAAATATTAAGATTCTCTCTCTCTCTCTCTCTAAAAAAAAAAAAAAATGAGTGATGGATCTGAGTGGACACATCACGAGGAGGAGCTAGAGATGGGAAGTTAGCCCAGGAAAAAGGTGTCTGACGTGGTTAGTCTTCAGAGAAATGCAGTTGTTGAAACCGTGATGAGATACCACTGAACATCCATCAGTGGGTGACAATAAAAAAAAATGATATGACACTGTCAAGTGTGAGTGAGAATCTGGAGCCCCTGGAACTCACATCCTGTGCTGGGGTCACTGCAAAAAGGTGCAGCCGTGCTAGAGGACGATCGGGAATAGTGTACACTGCTGCAGCTGTCCCACTCAAGACCCCGCAGTCTCACCTCCAGTAGTCAGAGGTACTGGATGAACAGGTCACTCTGCCAGCCGCATTGATCTGATGGTCCTGTGTCAAGGTTTGGATATGAGACACCCCTGGAAAAGCTCATGTTAGGTCAACAGGAATGTTCAGGGGTAAAATGATTAAGAGAGCTGGAGTCTCATCAGTGGGTTGATACATTGATGGACTCACAATCTGAATGGACGACTGGGTGGTAACTACAGACAGGGGGTCCATAGCTGAAGGACGCAGGTCACTGGTGGAGTTGCCTTGGGGGTTGTATCTCGTCCCTGGTTTATCTTGTCCCTCTTTCTCTCTCCTCCTCCTCCTCTCTTCCCCTCCCCCGTCCCTGCTTCTCAGCTACCTGAGCCCCTGTCCTCCACCACACCCTGCTGATGTTCCTCACTTGGACCCAGAGAAATGGCGTTGGCCAACCAGGGACTGAACCTCTGGAACTGTGGGCTCAGAACGAACTTCCTCTTCTAAGTTGTTCTTGTCAGGTATTTTGGTCACAGTGACAAAAAGATGACTAACACACCATCCTCGAAACTACTCAAATGTGCACCAACAGACCCAAAGAAGGGTAAACAGCGATGCCTTAAAATAATGTAGAAATGCTACAACAGAATTTTTTTAAAAAACTCCAACTACAAACACACAAACGCACACGCACACGCACACGCAAATTGTTGAACCTTACACACGTAAATGTTGAATGAAAGAAGCAAAATGCCAAAGAACACACACAGCATAGATGGCTCAATTTATATAGAATTCAAAACTGAGAAGAAAGAAACTGGGATGTGTAAGGATCTATTCATAGGCAGTAAATTCCCAGAGCGAGGAGGTAGCCATCATCAGAATCCAGACTCTGATGGCCCCTGCCAGGACTGGGAAACCTGGTGGACTCCCAGGAGGAGGCAGCACACTTTATTTTTCTTTTTTCCTGCCCAGCCTCTTGCCCTTGAGGCACAAATACCGAGGGCCATGGATCACTTAGCTGCCCGGGATCAGTTCCCTGGTAGCTGTTGGACGTGGCTTTGCACCAGATGAAGATCTGAGGCCGTCACATTCCCATCCACATCAGGCACTGACTCTGCGTCCACCGTCTTTGTGCTCCGACCCTCAGTTTGTCCATCTGTTAATGGGGCATGATGGTTCCCATCCTGCCAAGCTCAGAGGATAGAACAATAAATACTAAAGAGTGTTGGGGTTCGAATGCCTCCCAATCTCATGTTTTGGAGGAATGATGGGGTTGGAAGGTGAGGCCTTGAAAGAGGTGATTGGGTCGAGAGGGTCCTGAGAGAAGATCGGGTCATGGGTCAGAATGGATCAATGATGTGGGAGTGGCTAACTGGACAGAGCAGGTGCCGTCTTGTGCAAGCACTTGCTTGCCCTTTCACCTTCTGCCATGTTATGACACCAGAAGCAGAAGGCCCTCAGCAGACACGAGGACTGCCACTAAGCCTTGACTTCGCAGCCTCCAGAACCGTGAGCTGAGAAGAACTTCTTTTCTTTATAAATTTCTCAGTCTACGGTCTTCCCTCACAGCATCAGAAAAGGACTAAAATGAAGGGCTCTGGGAGCCACTCTGGGAGTGCCAGGGACTGTGTGGGCCTCCGCGGGGAGCTGGGCTGCTGAGCAGTGAGGCCAGCCTAGACTCCTGCCCTGCCCCACGCTGCCCCTCCCACGGACTGCCCCCGGAGACCACAGGCCGTCTGTCTGCGGGCTTCTCAGTATCACCTTTCACCAGCCAATCAGCGGGGGCGATCAGGACAGGTCACACAGCCTATTTCCTGTTTTCAAACAGGGAACTTAGCAAAGCAAAAGCCACTCAACCACTTACGGGAGCTTGGAACAGAGAAAATATGTGACCCGCTCCTGGACCCTTGGACGTACTCAGGGCCCGAAGACCTCAGGTCAGTGTTTGATCCCAAGATCAGGTGGCTTCTGAGCTCCATCCCTTCCTCCTGTGACCCCTCCATGCTTGTTGGGGAGAGGGTGGGACGGGGAAGGGCTGTGACAGCCTGTAGCACCCTGGGGCCGAGCAGGGAGCAGCCCCCCTTCCCATCACCTCGATTCCTCTTGAAATGCCAGCACTCTTCCAAGCCCTCTTGGTCCTGGGGAACCAAAAAGCAGTGCCTGGGACCCTGCATCAGCACAGCCCAGGGGAATCGGTACAAAATACAAACCGAGGGCTCACCCCAGAACTAGATGAGACTCTGGGTGTCGAGAGCCAGGAAATCTGCTTTTGAGCCAGCTCCCAGACCCCACCCCACCAGGGCATCCTGATGCACACGCATATGCGGGAGTCCCTGCCATTGGGCAGGCTTCTCAGGGAATGTCCAGGTGTCCAGTGGGGCCCACCCTCTCTCCAGTGAGGGCAGCTGTGCATCCAATGTCCCAAATTCTTCTGCCTCCTGGACAGGCCAGGGAGCTTTATTCCACTCCACCAGACTCATCCCAGATGAGAAGCCTCTGCAGCCCCCTCAGGAAGGGAGCGTGGGCTCTGCAGATGGCCCTGTGTGCCCATCAGAAGGACTGGACATGGCAGGACTCTTCAAAGCAGGGAGTGAGGGTCAGGGGACCTGGGAGTCAAGGAGGAGTAGGATGACTGTCACACACACCAAGCCAGAGGGCCAAGGGGCTGGGAGCTGATACATAGACACACAGGCTGGGTGAGTGTCCGGGCACCGTGTACCAGCTCTTGCTCTGTCCTCTGGGCCAAGCTGGCCCCCCACACTTCAGTGTTTTATAGTGAAGTTTAGAAATATTTTCAGCAGAGGCCATGGGGAAGGGAGGGACGAGTCCTCAGAATCCCTTATGTGGCTGACCCCAAAGACCTTTAGAGTTCTTTGCTGTCCCATTTCACAGATGGAGTGACTGAGGCCTGGGCATGGATGGGAAGCTGCCCAAGACCCCATGGTGGCACCAGTGCGTGACTTTTCCCTTTCTACTCCTTTATAAATGGGTGACACCCAGCAAACCCCACAGAGGAAACCTAAGTGAGCCGGCTTTGGCTCTTCAATTTGATTTTCATTCTAAGCCCAGGTTTCGGCTTTCTCGGGTCTTTACTGCAGTTTCCAGCCAAGGCATCATTTCTGGGATCTTTTAAGTTCTTGAGAAAGCCAGGCCTTGCTTCTGACCTGGTATTAGTTGCCCAATCACGAAAGCAGAACGGGAAGGGCTGGGACCCCGGGGCCAATCCATTCACAGTCACCCATTTTACAGATAAGCTGGCTGAGGCCCATGCAGAGGCCTGCCCACAAACCTGCGTCCCCGAGGAATCCCGGTTACCAAGAGTCCATTAGATAGGAAAGCCTGGGACCACCGCCATCTTGCTTGGTCACTTGGCATGACATAGGGGACCCATCCCCAGCAGGGCTGGGCTTGAGGCTACACTTTTCAGGTGGGGAAACAGTACCTGCCCAAGAGCCCACAGTTGGTCAGGACGGAAGCCGGGTCTCCTGACTCCTTGAGGACAGAATGAGATGGCTGAGGTGTGTGAGCTGCAGCAGGCTTGAGCTCCCATAGTCCTGGCCAGCCAGGCCCCTGCCCTGTGCCCCAATTTGCTCATCTGTGAAAGGAGAAGTCGGATCAAGGGCCCCTGGGGACAGCCACTAGACAACTGCCCAGTTGGGGACCTGGAGTATGGCCAGGGCTCGGATTCCACAGCCCCCTGAAGCCTGGCTCCAGTCCCAGCCGAGCTCACCCTCCCCAGGTCAGGCCAGATGAGAAAGGCCCTCACCCCTGGAGCAGGGACCCCAGGGAACCACCGGGGACGCTAAGGCAGCAATGGCCTGCTTCATTCCAGGCCGTGGCCAGCCGGAGGGTCAGACCCAGGGATTGGAACCCAACAGTCCAGAGTTCAAGAACCAGCTCCCCTCACCCCCACTGCCACCATCCCACAGTGATAAAGCCTGGTAGGGGGTCACTTGCATCCTCCCAAGTTTGAATCCTTTAGCCTGAGCGGTGCCCCAGCTACTTGCTCCAAATGCTCCGCCCCTTTTTCTGACGTGCAGGGATGTGGAATTCCACTCCAACTCACACCCTGGAGTCATTGATTCCACAACTACTTCCCAAAGCATCCAGCACCTACCAGATCCTAAAAACAGGATGACTACACCGAGTATGTGTGTGTGCCCTGACTGGCTGTTTCCAGGGTCTGCCTGACAGTCCACCCACCTCGTGCAGATGGGTTGGCTGTGATGCCATGGGACTTGGCTGCACAGAGAAGCCGAGAAACTTTCCGGCTTCCAGGTCATCTCATTCACTCATCTGGGTCACTAGCAGAGTTGCTGCATCCACCGAACTCGTTTACCACCTGCCTGCCCTCCCAACTCACCTGGCTAAGACAGAGTCAGCCAGGCGGGGGTGTGTCCTGACACCAGGTACCAGCTCTTGCTCTTGGGCAATTCTAAATCCAAGTTCTTTTATCACAGAGTGAAGATAAAAGTAGTCCCTATCACCGATGGTGGTCAGATTAAGTGAGAGAGTGAGCGGATTGAATGCAGAGTGCACACCAAACAAGTTCCACTTTGCTCACTGGGCACACTCACCAGCCATGTGACCTTGGGCTAGACCTCCGTTTCCTCATCTGTTATTTACAGGAAATGATAGATTTCTGTGAGCTGTAAATTAGACAAGGAATATGAAGAACTAGGTGAATAAGAAGTGGGCCAAATAAGCTGTCAGTAAAAGTTTCCTTATAAATAGATAGATGATAGGTGATGTATAGATTATAGATAGATGGTACAGAAATAGAAAAAATAGGATAAAGGATACATGATGATGATAGATAGGTGATAGATAGGTAACTTGATAGGTAGATGATAGATGATAGATAGACAGATGATAGATAATGATATATAACAGATGATAGACAATAGATGAATGGTAGATGATAGGTAATGATAGATGATAGACAGATTGGTAGATAGATAATAGACAGTAGATAGATGATGTTAGATGATACACACAGAGTAATCTAAAATTGAGCATTGGGGCATTTAACTGGACAAGCCATTATGTTGGCTTGAAGTCACCACATTGAAAATCAAGAGCAACTTAATAATACAAGGATCATAATCCTAACAGAAGGTCTATGTCACCTTGGAACCATCTGTCCAGCAGAAGAGCAGACCCAGGTCTGGATCTTGCAGCTGGGTGGGCAGTGGAGGGTCAGCTGGGGGGAGTATTGTCATTCCCCTCTGTACTGAGCAGACAGTACAATATGTGTCCTAGGGACCCAGGAACCTCTGGGAGCCCCAGCATGAATGGGCACTCACTGTTCTCTCTTCTGCCCTGGCAGCCTTGGAACATGGCATGTCCTGAGCACCCTGGGAGCCCTGGCTGGACAGGACCTGTAACCCAGTGTGCTGCTAAGACCAAGCAGGAAGCACCCACCTCGGACCCAGATCTCCCAAGCCCAGGACCTAGAGAACACTCAGGTGGGCCTGCAGCTTGGGACTCCGTGAGGGGGACAGGTTTAAAGACACTTGAAGTACAAACGTGGGCGCCTACAACGAATGGGTGCAGGACAGTCTGGCAGCTCTTTTACCCTGGGTCACCCTTGACCCTGGGATGAGGTTTGGTGCTAGTTGCTTATGTGGTAGGTGACCAGGAGGCAAGGGCAGGGGATCGGGAAATGAGGATGGGGAAAGTGGGGAGCCACCCAGGGTACCAGTGAGCACATGACTTGGGTAGGTGACAGGCTCACTCCCAAAGGAATCTTCTAGGAGGTTGTGTGGTGGAACTTATCTCAGAGTTGTGAGACCACAGTCCCATCCCGTCTCAGCTGAGGGAGGCCCCTGCGCTTGTCGCTATGGCCCCAGAAAGCCCTTACGCTGGGAGTCTCGTGCTTCCCCTAGAAAGTCAGTAGCATGTTCCAGGACAATGAGTGCCCAAGGCCCCAGCCAGGCACTGATACCTTCCATAGCACCCCTCCTGGAACTAATCTCTCCCGACAGTCCTTCAAGATGGACCCATTGAAAACCTGCTGTACTCAATGCAGAGAACAAACCACTGTACTGGCCTCTGGTTCCTCAGGGAAACACCCATGCAAAACAATTAGAAGTGCCACAAAGAGCTATTGGAACAAGGTGGGAAGGACTGTAATGCCAAGGAGCAGTTGAAGTGACATGTAGGCAGGTGGACACACTAGGCCAGGGCTTCTGGGGACCACATCATTCACACACACACAAAAAAATGCACAATTACTTGCACAATTTTAGTAGAGAAAGATTCTAAGCTTTCTCAAGATTCTCAGAGGGGCTCAGGTCTCAAGGGAGGTTTCAGAAACACAGTTGGTACCACACGCACATCAGATAGAGCACTAATCTCTAGGATATATAAAGGACTCAAAAATCTTAACGTCAAAAAACAAATAACCCAAAAAAAATCAATAAATGGGCCAAGGAACTGAACAGATACTTCTCAGAAGATGAGATACAATCGACCAAGAAAATATGTGAAAAAATGTTCATCATCTCTAGCAATTAGAGAAATGTAAATCCAAACTACTCTAAGATTTCATCTCCCTCCAGTCAGAATGGCAGCTATGAAGAATACAAACAACAATAAGTGTTGGCGAGGATGTGGGAAAAAAGGTACCCTCATACAGTGCTGGTGGGACGATAAAATAGTGCAGCCATTCTGGAAAGCACTATGCAGATTCCTTGGAAAACTGGAAATGGAAACACCATTTGACCCAGCTATCCTACTCCTTGCTTTATACCCAAAGGAACTTAAAATCAGCATACTACAGGGACACAGCCACATCATGTTTATAGCAGCACAATTCACCATAGCTAAACTGTGGATGCCCTTCAGTAGATGAATGGATAATGAAAATGTGGCATTTATACACAATGGAATATTACTCAGCAATATGGCATTTGCAGGTAAATGGATGGAGTTGGAGAAGATAATGCTAAGTCAGTCAATCCCCTCCCCCCCCAAAAAAAAATGCCAAATGTTTTCCCTGATACAAGGAGGCTGATTCATAATGGGGGTTGGGGGCAGCCTGGGAGGAATAGATGAACTTCAGATAGGGCAAAGGGGAGGAAGAGGAAGGGAGGGGGCTTGGGGATAGGAAAGACGGTGGAGTGAGACTTACCCTAAGTGCACTTATAAAAACACGAATGGTGTGACTCTATTTTGTTACAACCAGAGACATGAAAAATTGTGCTCTATTTGTGTAATATGAATTGAACTGCATTCTACTGTCATATACAACAAATTAGGATAAGTCAATTTTTTAAAAAGATTACAAACACCAAAAAAGGGAAAGAAACAGAGTTGGTTTCCAGATAGGGCAATGGGAGGGTTGGGTTCAAAGCAGATAAGTGGCCCATGGTAGAAAAAGCAGGCCGGGTGGGCAGTGAGCGAGGGCGAGGAGGGGCGGGCCAGGCTGAGGCTGGAACCCAGCATCTTGGCAGCTCCCTCCACCGCTCTGGCATGTGCTTAGGGTCCTTGGGGCAGCCACGGACAGTCAGTGCTGCAGGCAGGGCCCAGGTAGACAAGGCAGGGTACTGTCAGCAGTACAGGGTTGCACAGTGCTGATCTGCAGGCCGGAGGGCCTCTGCAACATGCCCGCACTGCATTTCACAATCAGGAAACCAGCTGCGGTGATTGGCTATTTGAAGTCGTCAGCAGTGGGTGGGTTCTGCCAGCTTGGACGCAGGCTCCTGGCTGATGCCCTCCCCCACACTCAGTTTTATAAATGTAAGGGTGGGCAGAGGGGCATAATTACCGCTCCTCCTGAATCCTGATGCCCCCTCCAAGACAGACCCAGCCACCGCCCCAAGCCCTTGCCTCTCAAGTGCACAGCCCTGGTGCAGATCCCTAAGGAGGCTGTCCTTCCAGGTGCCCACCCCAGTCCGAGCTCCAACTCCAGCATGACCACCCGGGAGCTGCAGGAGTACTGGAAGAAGGAGAAGTGCCGCTGGAAGCACGTCAAGCTGCTCTTTGAGATCGCCTCAGCCCGCATCGAGGAGCGAAAGGTCTCCAAGTTTGTGGTAAGTTGAGATGGGGAAGTGATGGAGCCCTTTCAAATGGCCCTGGGCAAGACCTCAACCTCCCCAACCACGAAATGGGTTGATAGACTTTAACTCACAGAGTTCTTCCAGAGCAATGGCCAAAGAGCACTGTGCTAAATTCTGTGAAAATTAGAGAGGTAGGAGGAGTCAAGCTTCCTGACCCTAAGAAATAGCCCAGCTGAAGCCCAGGTGATCCGGTATTAGTCATCTTCATCCCTCTCCACTGGATTTTGTCCTAACCTTGTGTCTTTTACTGCTATTTAATTTTTTTTCTTTAGATTGGATCAATTCTTTTTCTTTCTTTTCTTTCTTTTTTTTTTTTTTTTTTTTTTTGCAGGGGGAGGGCTTACTGGGGATTGAACCCAGGGGCATTCAACCACTGAGCCACATGTATTTTATTTAGAGAGGGTCTCACTGAGATGCTTAGTACCACACAGTTGCTGAGGCTGGCTTTGAATTCATGATCCTCCTGCCTCAGCCTCCCGAGCTGATGGGATTACAGGCATCTGCCACCATAACTTGGATCCCTTCTTTAAAACACTGAATATATTTAAATGGAAAACCACAATCACATGGCATAAAGAAAAGTATGTACAACTACAAATGTAAATAACAAATAAAACTAAATACTGTAATTCAATTGGCTGGCTACTAGGGCCTTGGACAGCTCTGTGCTTGGGGGCTGCTGTCTTAGCAAGGCTGGAATTCCAGCCTGTGTTAGGAAGATGTCAGAGCCACACTTGACCCCTCTTCTCCACTTAATTGGAACCAGGACAATAACTATAGCTACCACTGCGTGCTGACTGCATGCTAGGCACAGTTCCATGTGGTTTCAGTGCATTAACTCATTTAATCCTCATACAGTGATTGAAGTAGGTACTATTCCTACCATCAATTTATGGATAAGATACGTGAGGCTCAGAGAGGATAAATTACCTAAGACCACACAGCTAGATTGTGATGGGGCTGGAATTATAACCCAGGCCGTCTGGCTCCAGAGTCTGTACCCTTCACCAGTACTCTTCTTTTTTTGTGTATGTGTGTAATTTTTTTTTTTTTTAGTTGTAGATGGACGCAATGCCTTTATTTTATTCATTTATTTTTAATGTGGTGCTGAGGAGCAAACCCAGTGCCTCACACATGCCATGCGAGGCAAGCGCTCTGCTACTGAGCCCAGCCCCAGCCCGCCAGTACTCTCTTGAAGGAGAATTCAAACAATAATTTCCTGATGGACCATCACTACCAGTGTGTGTGCAGGATGCTCTGACCCACTTCCCAGTTGAGATCGCAGAGGCCCAGCTTTGATGAGGGAAAGCCACGAGGGTCCCCAGGCCCCCTGCATGTGTCTTTTTTTCCTCTGAGCTGCCCTATGGTGCTGTCGTCGTTACTGCAGGGTTGGTGTCTGTCCTGAGCCCCTTTACAGCTCAGACGACGGCGAGGGCAATTAGAACAGAATCGCATATAAGGATGACCCATTTGCAGGGTATCCTCGTCGTTACTGTCCTTTGCCGGGGGCTCTGTCATTTTCACCTGCTCGCGCGTAGTCAAAGGTGTGCCCGGCCCCACCTGTCCCGCAGATGTACCAGATCGTGGTCATCCAGACGGGGAGCTTCGACAGCAACAAGGCTGTCCTGGATCGGCGCTACTCGGACTTCGAGAGGCTGCACAAGAGCCTGCTGAAGACGTTCCGGGAGGAGATGGAGGACGTGGTGTTCCCCCGGAAGCGCCTGACGGGGAACTTCTCGCAGGAGATGATCTGCGAGCGCCAGCTGGAGCTCAAGGAGTACCTGGGGCTGCTCTACGCGCTGCGCTGCGTGCGCCGCTCGCGCGAGTTCGCCGACTTCCTCACGCGGCCCGAGCTGCGCGAGGCCTTCGGGTGCCTGCGCGCCGGCCAGTACGCGCGCGCGCTCGAGCTGCTGGTGCGCGTGGTGCCGCTGCAGGAGAAGCTCACGGCCCACTGCCCCACGGCCGCCGTCCCCGCGCTCTGCGCCATGCTCGTGTGCCACCGCGACCTGGAGCGCCCCGCCGAGGCCTTCGCCGCCGGGGAGCGGGCCCTGCGGTGCCTGCAGGCCCGGGAGGGCCATCGCTACTATGCGCCCCTGCTGGACGCCATGATCCGCCTGGCCTACGTGCTGGGCAAGGACTTCGTGTCCCTGCAGGGCAGGCTGGAGGAGAGCCAGCTCCGGAAGCCCACCCACCGGGGCTTCACCCTCAAGGAGCTCACGGTGCGGGAGTATCTGTCCTGAGCCAGCCGGGCACCTGGCAGGGAGACTAGGGGCCACCGTGGCTCCGGTGGGCCGCGCGGGCAGCGTTTTTCACGGGAGGACCTGTTGGGAGCTGTGAGTTGCTGGGTGACGTTGGGCAAGTCCCTCTGATCTGTATGGAACGAGGTGCTCCTGGGACCCCCTGTGTTTCTAGCTTAGGTCCCCTGATGTCAGGCTCCCTTCATCTCCAAACCACAAAACTAGCTGCAAAAAATGTTGGAGAGTGCTGTGGACCTTACTGATGTTTTTGTGGGAAGCAGGAGGAGAGGTTTGCATCACGAATCATGGACTAAGCGCAGGTAATTTCCTGGCAGAGGGCTCTCCAGCTCCCCTGGGTCTTTTTTTGCTGCTCTTATGCTTATAAGTAGACCCACCCAGCCGGGTGTGGAAGCCCCCCCAAAAGGGCTGGGGATGTGCCTCAGTTTCCAAGTGCCCCTGGGTTCAATCTGCAAGACCAAAAAAAAAAAGACCCACCCATTATCCTAATATTCTTGCTCTTCCCCTTAGCATGCAGACCTCACTCGGCAAATCAAAGGCTCTCCTATTGTCCCTTCAGGACAGCCTCTCCCCCTGCAGAGCCCCCAGGGTGAAGGTTGTACACCCGTCTTTGAAGGGTGGCAGGAGGATACTGGGCCAGAAAGCTATCATATCATAAGATTCTATGACGGGCATTTTTAGAAAGGGAAGTTCCAGAGACCTCTCTGACTAGGATGCTAGAACACATTGCCTGGAGTTGTAGTTTCACTCATATGGCCGATGTTACCTGAATGGCATCCCCAGATATGTGGATGTAGCCCTGGAAGGAGGGGGAATAAGAACATTCAGTGGGGCCTCTGGATGGAAAACAGACTGAATTCTCAACAGCTCTCCATTTGAGGTACAGAGTTCCTGGAACCTCTCTGATAGTGTGGGGCCTACTGTCAGGAAAGGACTACTGAGGCCTACGATCAGGAAAGGACTCACACCATGGACACCAGAGTGGGGTGGAGAGCCAGCACCAATGACCTGAGCTAACGGTACAGGCTGAATTGGGCCAATGTGTATCTGAGCCTGGAAGCCCCTGAAGACCTAAACTAAACTCTCTGGCCAAAATTTGGAAACCTTAATGTTGGGCACTACTTTGGCCAGGGTGGGATATGGCCCAGGTCAAGGTAGCAGTGGACAAGCATTCACTAAACTACACCAGAGTCTGTTCAACAGCGACACCTTGTGGCAACCACTGTGTGGCCCAATCCCGGCTCTTTCCTGAGGGTGAGAATAAAACACAGACAGCTTTGGACAAAGAAAACCCTCCTGTCTCTCTGTTTACTCCAGGAGAAGGACCCTGGAAGCAGGAATATGTTGGACTTCTTGAAAGCCAGGGCATATGGGAAACTAGAGTGTTAAATGAAAAAAATAAAAGTCGTGACTCTGCTATTATGAAGATCCTACTGAAACTGCAAATTATTTCATCAACTATAAAATATTCTCAATTGTAAAATGCACCAAATATTTACTAAGAAAGAAAAAGTGCCCAAACGCTGAAGAGTTTCATAGGGGATTCCAGCAGACTGGGAGACCAAGAGTTAGGTCCCCAATATGAGAGTCAATGCAAGAGAAACCTACCGTTCTGGGTGGATTAAATTTCATGTGAGGTATTAGGAGGGTAGGAACTTAATCTATGGTGTTTGGAGGTGGAATTTTGGGGAGGCAGTCAGGATTAGGGATGCCATTAGGGTGGGAACCCCATGATTGCATTAGTGACTTTAAAAGAGGAAGAGAGACCCAAGCTGACCCACTTGCTCTGTCTTGCCTGGTGATAGCCGCCCTGCCGTGGGATTCTGGATCCTCATGAGCAGAAAGGTCCTCACTAGCTGCATCCCCTAGATGTGGGGCCTCCAGAACTCTGAGTTGAGTAAATATTCATTCTTTATAAATGTCCCTGTCTGTGCTATTCAGTTATAGCAACAATAAAAGTGGATGAAGACACCTGCTGGGCAGGGAGGGACAAGAGGACATTTGCATGAATCAAGCTTGGCATGGGTAGAGGAGGGGATGTCAGAGAATTTGGACTGCAAGCTTGTGCTCACCCACGTTTGGGGGCTGAGTACAACAGTGTGGTCCAAAATAGCGCCAGAAGAGCAGTCGTGTTGAAGCGGTTTCACTTGGAGGTGTTCCTGCAACTGCTATTGCAAGCTCTCTCTAAAGGAAGTCAACGTGGATCTAGGTCAAGAAGGAGCATAAGGTGAAGACACTGTGCATCTCAAAGTCACAAATATATGATATGTGTGTGTGTGTGTGTGTGTGTGGCGTGCACACACAGAGAAAATACCCATATGGGGTAGAAATACCTACACAGTCGTAGAGGGGTGTTCCCCATCACTACTACCTGCAGAAGGACTGGCTCCTGACATAATTCTCAGGTAAAGGATCACTCCAGCTCCTGAATAATCAGGAGCCGCCACAAAGGGCAGCTTTGGGACCCCAGCGCATGACACTCATGCTCTTCTCCCAGTTCTCTCAACAGCCGCAGCCCGTGGGTCCAGTGGAGTTTCTGCTGGTCATGTGCACAGTGTCCTTGTCCACTGTGGGTTGTCCTGGGATGACCGTGATGGCCATCTCTTCCTGACACATGCCATTTGCTCCAGGAGTCAGAGACCCACTCATTTCTTGGGTTTGGGGAATAAGTCCTTGAATTCTCAGGCCCTGCCCCAGGGAGTTTCCCTCATGGCTCACGGTGACCCCACGGGGATACCCCACTTCCTGTTTTCCTGGGCCCTTTCCACTGTGCATTTCACTTAGACCTTGTTCCAGGGGGCTTTGGGGAGCTGGAAGGAAGCCGGGCCGAAATTCTCCTGCTTTCACAAAAGCTGGCCCACGGGAGAGGTGAGGAGCACCTGCCCTCAAGACCTGGGTGGGGCTGGGGTCAGCAGCAGCAGGCTCCCCAGGGCTTGGGAGAAACGCAGACCTTCAGTCCTGCCTCGGCCTGCTCAGCCAGAATGGCCACTTTAACGAGATCACCCCTACTCCTACCCCCACTCCCGCCCCCTGCAGGTGACGCTTCCCTGCAAACTGACTGAGGGGGGCCTTGAGGAAAATCACCCCCAGAGCCCGGGCAGGTACTTTCCTGGGCTCCTCCCCACCTGGCCTTCCCCCTGTCTCTTACAGGTGCACCAGCCCAGGTCCTGGGTGGCTCTCACTGGTGGCACCATGCCAGCCTCTCCCGAGAACGTGCTCTGGGCACGTGGTCCTGATGCCCCAAGGAGCCAGTGTCCTGGGATCTCCCCTTGGGATGGGATTAGGCCTGCTGGTGAGACCTGCATCCGGAGATGCTGGGGGTCTCTTACTGCAGGCAGGCTTCCCCCGTGTGGGCCCTGCTCCCACCCCATGTACAGAGAAGGACACAGACACCCTGAGGGGCTAGGTGACTTACCTGGGGTCACACAGCTAACAGTTGGTAGACCAGGAAATGAAGCTCAGATGGGTTGGACCCGCGGCCCGTACTTCACTTATTGAGCCCTGTACTGGAAGAGGAGAGGGGAGGGAGGGGACGCGTCCCTGGTCCTCTCAATGTTCCTTCAAAGCCATTTAATTCATATTCTCTGTTTATAGATGGGGAAAGTGAGGCCTGCAGAGGGTCACTCAAGGTCACAGGAGACAGGGACAGTGCAAGAACCAGACGTGGGACATCCACATCAAAGTGATATGCTTTGACAGGCAAGGCAGGCCAAATAATTCCAGGTTCAAATTCCAGAAAACCCTTGGCGAGGCCACCGGGCTGGACTTGGGCTCAGGGTCAGCATTGAGGCCTGGGTGGAAGCCTTTAGCCCGGCCTGGCTTCCTGGCCCCAGGCGGAAGCTCGGTTCAGGGTGGGCTGCAGTCCTGAGGCCAGCGTCCCTTTGCTGTCCTCAGAGCACCCGTCCCACTAGCCAAGGCTGCTTCAGAGCAGCTAAGTGACCACCAACTCTACCTGCTGGCAGGGGCCTGTGCCCGGCCGGGTGGCCTCTGGGGTTCAGAGCCAGACTGCACTGGCCACTCCCCCAGAGGCTGCCTTTCTGGCATCTTCCTGCTCTGTCACACGCCCCTTCCTCTGGGGCCCTGTTAACAATGCCACCACCTGTTTTGTCACTGAATTGCTATTTTCCTTGTAGCTGATATCCTTTTACTTATGTAAATTTATTTGAAAAAGAAACTTCCTGTTACTACCCTGAACGGAAAATCAGAGTCACTGGCTATAATTGGAAGGCAGCTACCAAATAACCGCAGTGGAACCTGCCACCGTATCCTACCCCAGCAGGCCCCGGCCCGGGACAGGACGCCGGTGGTCCCTGGTTCAGAGGGCAAAGACCTGTTATCAGCGAACCAGGGCTTCTCTTTCACTCCCAAAGACACGGGAAAATACGGCAAGAGGAAATAAGTTCCCAGCCACGTGGTCCTGGTGACACAGCATCATGTCAGACTGTCTGGAGACTGGCAGCCTGCTGCTTCCCCCCCCCCCCCCCCCCGCCTCCAAACTACAAACCCTGTGCTAGCTAGCTAGGCACTCTTTTTTTTTTTTTCTTAATATTTATTTTTTAATTTTAGATGGACACAATATCTTTATTTTATTTGTATGTGGTGCTGGGGATTGAACCCAGGGCCTCGTGCATGCGAGGCGAGCACCCTACCAACTGAGCTATAGCCCCAGGCCCTGCAGTTGTGTTTTCAGATGGTACTTCCAGAATGTCCCAGACCCTGGGAAGAGCTGGGGGTACAGCAGGGACCAGGACAGACCGGGCCTTGCTTTCACAGAGGTGGCGTGTCAGAAGGCCACTCGCGGAGCAAACCCAAGCTGGGATAGAGTGCTGTCCTTCAGCCAGGTGGCCAGAGAAGACCACTCCAGGGAGGAGCGGTTTAAGGGAGACTCCAGGCTGCGAGGGGGCCCTCGACAGAGCCCAGGCGCACGGGCCAGTGGGGATCTGGGCAGAGGGGAAGCAGGAGCTCAGCCTTCACCCTGGAATCTCCTCTGACCATCAGGTTTGAGTCTTTTCCCAGAAAGGGAACATGCTCTCACCCTGGTGTGTCACCTGGCTGTGCCACCAAGAGAGTGGGCTCCCAGGCCAACAGAAGAAAGCTTCTCATGATACCTCTGTCATTCCCCTGGCTAGTGAGTGGCTCGTTGCAAAGTGAAGGAGCTGGGGAGCTTGTGTCTGGGGCCATGCAGAACCATTGAGTTACCATGACAAAAAACAGAGTCAGCCTCACAAGGGAGGAATTTATTCCCTGAAGAGTCCTAGCGGAGACCAGCTTCCGGGACAAAGTTGGAGCCAAGGACTTGAACTTTGTCATCCAGTCTCTCTCTCTCTCTCTCTCTCTCTCTCTCTCTCTCTCTCTCTCACTTTCACTCTCCCCCTTAGTTCTGCTTTCCCCTGCTTGGCCTTCTCTGCTCGTGTTGACAAGATGGCTGCAGCAGCTCGGGGATCACATGCTTCCTTCTTGGCAACAGAGGACTCTCCTGTCCAGGACTCTTGTGAGGTCCTCACCTATAGGCTGTGTAGGAAACACACAACTGTCCTTTTCTGAGGAGCCCCATCCCCACAATGCACAAGTGCCAACAGCATGCATTTCAGGATGGCCTTGATCGGAAACGGTTCTTGAACATATTGTTTAGTCATCAGCTTTTTAAATTGCAACTACACATCCTGAACACTTCCTGTAATAAATCCTGTTCCTACAGGCTACTTTGGGTGGTTTCATTGTAGTCTAATGCATATGCCATAGTTATTGTAACCATACATTAATACCGCATTTTCCTTATTTCAGGCAACACTGCAGCAAACATCTTGATTCTCGTGCCTTTTTGTGTTTGTGTTCTCTTAACAGCAGTCTCCAACAGTGGCATCAGTGGCATCTCTGAATTTCTAAATATTTCTATTAAAAATCGACTAATTTGACTTGTAATTTATGGTGCTGGGGTTGGAACTCAGAGCCCCGCATATGCAAAAGCAAGCACTCCACCATTAAGCCTCGCCTCCAATCCTAATTTTATTTTTTAATTGACAAAGATTGTGTGTATTTATGAATCAACACTTTCAGTGGTTTTGATATTACTTTTCTTCTCTCTCCCTAACGGCTGGACTCACTCACTCCTCCACCATACAAGTGTGAGAGGGATGCCAATTCCTTCAGTTTTCCATTATCCTGGGATTTTAAACTCATTTTAGTAGTTGAATCCTTGTCCCTTTTCACGGGACAATCAATCCGGAGGCAGGAGGGACCCAGGACTGGATCCCGCTACTCACCGGGATGCCAGCAGGTGGCGCTGCCGCCCTGGCGGCTCCGCTGCTCCCCGAGCCTTGGGCGCGGGAGAAAAAGAGGAAGAAGGGGAATTGAGCAATTCTCCGGAAAAAAAGAAAAAAGAAACTCAACTCGGTAAAGCCGTCCGGGGGGGCTGAAGAAATGCGGGA